TCCAGACGCGCTGCGGGTGCTGCCTGGGGACGCGACACGGGCTCCAGAGCCCGCGGCCCACAGGGCTGGGCGGCCACCGTGCTGTCGGGTGACTTGGAGTCCGGGTGGCACAGAAACGAGGAGAGGATGGGCTCCGTCGCTACCAGGACCCACGGCCGGGGAGCGCGCCCACGCCCGGGTCTCCCCTCCGACGCCCCCGTGAAGTGTGGCAGCTGTTACGGGCCCCCAGGAAGTAAACTTAGTCATCAGTCACCCGGCTCTGCCGTGCGAGGCTCGCCCACGCTGACGAGCTGGAGGCTAATCGGGACGAGAGGCTGCGGAACCAGGAGGCAGGAGGCGGCGAAGCCCCCAGCGACGGGCGCTGGAGCGCGAGCTGGACAGTGACTGACGGGGACAGGAAGGGAGGTGCGAGGTGACTCTGACCGCAGATAACCTTCGCGTTCCCAGAGCGACAGGGCGCGGAAGGGCAACTTGCTGGACCATTAGCAGCCGGAGTGGCGAGTGTCCGCTCAGCCACCCGGGGGCCATATGTACAAGGCCTCTAGCGCCGAAGGTGCGTTGACTCCTTATTGCACTAGCCCCGGAGAAGAAGACTGTCCCCTTTGTGGGCTTTGCACCTTGGCCAAGGCGAGAGCGAGCTCGTCCTTGTAATCAGGCTGGGGCGGAACCACTGAGCGGCGGCCGCTCTAATGGCCGCTCCCCGGCCGGCCGGCCCGCCCCGGAAGCGTTCAGAGCCGCCGCTTTTAGAGTCGACGGGAGTCGGGCGGAGGGGCCGCCCGAGAGCGTTTTCGGTCGGGCTGGTTTGGGGGAGGGCTGAGAGGAGTGAAACACGCCACGTTTCAAGGGCACCCGCAGCCAGCGTGCAGCGTGTCACGCAGCCCCCCAGACACGCGTGCAGTGGGCCTTGTCCCGCATTCTCCACGGGTGCAGGCGGGCCCCGCTGAAAGCGTGAATGTCCCCGTCGGGTGGCCGCAGGGGGCTCTCGGTGCCCGGAAGCCTGTGAGAGCCCCTGGCCATCAGCGCCACCCCGGCACGCAGCTGCCCCGCAGCCACTTCCGGGGGCGGGGTCGGGACGGGGGCGGGGTCTGCCGCGCGGGAGCGTCGCCTCTGCCTCCCCTCTCGGCACCTGTCCCTGGCAGAGGCCTGGTTTCTACCGCTGGGTCCCGGGGGAAGCGGGAACTGGTTTAACTTCTTACCAAGTCCCAAGAACTTCTGCAGAGCGGTCCTCAGCAGACACGTAGGGGAGAATGAGGCGTCCCCTCCCGCAGCTGTGAATACGGGGACGTGCTAAATCGGGGACCGGACCAAGCTGTGCCTGCTTGGTGGCTGTGGGAGAGGCGGTCCCCAGAGACCCAATTACTGCGCTGGATCTGCTTTCCTGGACTTGGGGGCGGCCGCGATCCTTGGTAGCAGGAGCGGTTGCCATCCGGCAGCTCCCCGCGAGCGGCTTGCTCACCGGCCTTCAACGCCCTGCCTCTGAGGAGTGTCTGCTGGCCTGGTGTCCCCGCAGGCGGAGGACACGCAGCCGCCTTAGAGCAGGCGGCCGGCGGGGTGCCAGAGCTGTCAGAATGAAGCGATTGTCCCCCAAAGGCAAACGCGCCCCCGGGAGAGGGAGAGCGGAGGTGGCTGCTTCCTCCCGGTGGGAGGCTGTGAAAGTGAGCGCGCAGGGAACACACACAGTTTCCGACGCCACTGGCCTCTCAGAGGCCCTGACTCACCACGTGTCCTGCGCGTGGGTTGAAGCCCACAGAGATCTCGGCATCCTCTCTAAAGCAGTTAAACATTGTCCTTCCCTGCACTGTGCCCCATTATAAAATGCCACTCCCCTTTAGATTTATTACAATGGCTGAAATCTAAACTTTCACGGGAAAGATGGTTGGAGTCTTTTGTAATTTTTTTTCCTCATTTAGGACCCGGGACTGCACTTTTCTTCAACTGGTTTTATTCCCCACCTTAGGGGGGGAAAGCAGTTGCTACAGTTTTTTCTGTCTCCAGTATTTGGCCTTTCAGGGCTGTTCTCATGCCTGCCGAGCTCTGGAAGCCGCTCGCTGGTCCTGTCGCGCCGGGCGCGGGTGTCCGGCCGCTGCCTTCCAGGCGCGCGGTCCCTTCCCTTCCAAGAGCTCATTGTTTTTTCCTGCTGCAACTGACACCTTGATGGAACTGTAGCAGCAGTATGCTACATTTTTAATTTAACGTCGATAAGCGTTGATATTTGCCATCCTCCGCACTGATCACCCCCTCTGCTCCCCCTGGCCCCGGGCAGGGACTGAAACTTCCTAGACTTCAGTCACAGTGGGACAGGTGCTGGGACCACAGCCTCGGACACCGGGGCGGGGCGGGCGCCCCCATCCGGGGACCTAGGCTCTGGTGCAAGTTGTTGGGTCTTTCTGAAACTCAGTGTCCTCGTCCGGAAAATGAGACACTGCGGTAGTTCAGTGAGTCGTAAGAGTTCACACGAGTAGTTACAGAATTGACAGCAATCAGGCCAATGTTTCCTGAACAGCTGTTACATGCTTTGTGATATGCCAGGTACCAGCGAGTACCCGCGGAGCAGGGGGTGAGGAGGCCGACTAGTAAAATGAATACTTTTGATAGATGAGTAATACGGTGAGAGCTAAATCCCAGGGAAGCAAGAGAAGCTATAGAAGCATGGCGTGAGCCCGCAAGCTTTTTTCCGCTCCTCAAACATTATGCCAAGTGAAATAAGCCGGGTGGTGAAAGACAAATACCCTATGATCTCACCTGTAAGTGGAACCTAATCACCAAAACAAACAAGCGAGCAAAATAGAACCAGAGACGTGGAAATAAAGAACCAACTGACAGTGACCAGCAGGGGCCGGGAGGGAATATGGGGGGAAGAAGGGGAGGAGGCAAGCCAAGGAACAAGGATGAAGGACCCGCGGGCAGGGACAACTGGGCGGGGTGGGGGGGGACTGAATGGGGGAGCAAGGCAGGGAGAGTAATGGGGGGAAGTGGGGCTACTATAATTGAACAATAAAAAATTTTTTTAAAAAACAGAAAAAAGTCAAATGAAAGGCCTACGTTTGCTCTAAGACAGAGCTGCCTGGCTAAAATACCTCGTTTCTGGTAACTGGAAAAATGTCAGCTTAGTGTGGCCGGATGGGTTCGGCGACTGGACGCCGATCCCAGGCCCGGCCGGCGGCGGGGGCCACACCAGCATTCTGGCACCGCCGGCGCGCCGCGTGCAGCCAGCCCTGAAGTCGACTCTTCACTGCGTGTTGTGGCTCACAGATGGGTGTCATTACCCATGCGCGCCATCTGGTAACTTTCTGTTTTAACTCTTCATTCTTGCTAACTAGAGTCTGAGCCTGTAAAATGATTATTTTCAGTTTCGATGACTCCAAACATTCATGACCTGGGACAAAGAGTCCTGGTCACCCTGCCCTTGCTGCGGGCCTAACGTTGATTTAAAATGAGAAAACATATTATTACTTAGCGCGGCTTGTTTCATAAACCAACATTTTCAAGCGTGAGGTCCATGAAATAAGAAGCAGGGGAGACCGGGTGGCAGGTGTTTCCAGTTGGGAGACTCGGCACTCCCCCCCCCAGACCCCCTGGCCCGCAGCGCCTGGGGCTTGGCATACACAGGACACTCAGTACTGACTGACTCGGCAGCTTGCCAATGGGCCAGCGCCAGTACAGCGGTCCTGGCCGGCGGCTAATGTCCTTCCAAAAGGCTAGGCCGATGACCAAAGGCTAGGGCAGCTTGCTTGCTTGCTTCCATCTTTTAATGTCTGCTATGTCCATTTGTGTAGATTTTTTTTTTCTTTTAGAGAAGTGGGAATCCCTTGCAGGGCCACCTGGTCAGGCCAAGACGGCCGGCAGGGGCCTGAGTAGCCGCTGCGGAGGCCTGGGCGCACTCAGCGATGCCCTGATTCAGCTTTCCTTCTGCCTGTGGCTGTGGGGACACAAATGTCACAGCTCAAGGCGGGATTTCCTTCCTCCTCCTCCTTTCTTCTTCTCTTTCTCCTTCTTCTCAAATTAGAGTGAAAATGCTCACAATGTATCATGGTGTAAAAAGGGCTGGTAACAGACAGATATGTGCAGACTAATCCAATGTTGTTTAAATATATAAATGAGTAGGAAAAATTCTAGGTTTGTATACCACCCTCCAAAAAAAAAAAGCATCACTCAATTTTCTTTATATTCTTTACACTTTTCTATCCACCGTGAATATTAATCATCCTTACAAGCATAAAATTATTTTTATTTATTGAAAATGGCTCCTCAAGCAGAAGATGCGCGGATCTATACAACGTCCTCATTGGTCAATGCAACTCACCAAGAGGGAAATAAAAAAGCTCTTTGCTGTTTAAGATGCTGAGCGTTGAATTTAACGTACACAAACACTAACGATTTCAGTCCAGCCAAAGCAAGGTTGTTTCTGAGGCTCAGACCAAAAACCACCCCACAGACCTGGTCCTGTGGCCACACGGCTCGCTGGGTGCTCTCGGGCAGGGCAAAGGTCTCCTCTTCGCTGACTTTCCCTCCCCCGAGCAAACGTTGTCCATTCCGCACCCGCCAGGGCCCCGAGAACAGTCAGCGCCAGGGGGCGGGATCTTCCCCAAGGGGTGGCCTATTGCACCGCTTCCTGTCTTGGCTTATGAGGCTGACCTTTCCCCTAACGTTTTCCCTGGAAGAGAGAACATTTTATCCCCAAAGAGACATATGGACACAAAGGAGCGCAGGGGCGCGTAGAGAGAAATCCAGCACGATCACTTCTTCACCCGCCTAGACTCTGGCTCCGCCCAAGCGCTGCTGGGACGAGGGCGCGCGCGGGCAGGCGTGGAGCGCCCTCCGCTCGGAGGCGCAAGGGGCCTCCCGGGCCGCGGCTTCTCCGGGTGAGCGCAGGGCAGGCAGGAAGCAGGCCGGACTAGGGGGTGGGGGGGCGGCACGCAGCCCCTTTTCCAGCTGCGTCGTGCATGCTCGCTGATGTGTGCCCTGGCCCCCCCGTGACGTGTGCTCTGTTCTCTCCGCAGAATGTCGCGTCGTGAAGTCCACATCTTACACCAAAATAGCTTCGTCGTCCCGCCGGGGTGCCGCCAAGAGCCCGGGGCCGTCCCGGCGCAGCAAGTCGCCGGCCTCCACCAGCTCAGGTAAGGGCGCCCGGGGGCGGGGGCGCGCCTCGTGCGGGACGCGGGACGCGGGACACGGGGTGGGTCAGGACAGCGCCCGCTCCGGTTTGCGGCGTGGGAACCGGTTAGCGTGGCCCGGGGCGGACATGTTGGCTGTGAGACAAGCCATCGAGCTCGGAAAACTCACTGAGTGACGACTCAGGGCGCCCAGATTTGCACAATATACACATCTAAGCACAGATATTAGCGGTTCAGGCCAAGGACCCCTCGCCCGCGCCCCCGCCGCCTGTCCCCCGCCAGGGGCCTCGGTGAAAGCGCCCGTTGCAGGGCGTTTGGCTTAGGAGGAGCTCCCCCGGGGCATGGGCTGCCCCTCTGCTGAGGGCTGGTCCCCGCCGGGCTGTGGGGCTGAGGGCAGTGGGAGCGACGAGGCCCGGGCGGGGACAGCCGCAGGGACCTGGGCTGCGTCCTGTCTCTCTCAGGCCCCCAGCGCCGACGTCAGGGGCACCTGCGCGCACAGGATGACCGCCCCACGCCCCCCTTTTCCCTCCGTGGTCTTGGCGCAGAGGCGAGTGTGTTCGGTGGTTTCCGTTTTTGTCTTTCTGGGGTGGGGGTGGGGTTTCTGGACTCAGAGGTTAGGTCCATTTCGTGAATAATTACTGACTAAGCGATATAAGCTGGTGAACGGGAGACCTTAAACAACACAGACGTCCGAGAGGCTGTCCCCTGGCTTCATGAGGGCAGTGAAGCGCTTAGGAGGAAGGACCTGAGGGCCTCTGCAGAGGCCGCTGGGGCTGGGCGGCGGGGGACCTGGAGGGATGGGACGAGGGATGGGGACCTCGGCTCAGGCTGGGGCCGCCAGGCCGCCTCTGGCTCCCCGCACCCACCGCGGCGCTGTTGCGTGCAGTGCAGCCTCCGTGTCGAGAGGTACAGTGGCTGTCGTCTGTGTTCCCTGAGGAGAAGCGACACCGAAACCTCCACCGTGAGCCCTGGAGGAAGGAAGCCTTAGCGCGCTGGGCGGTCGGAGCGCACAGCCCACCCTGGTTCTCCCGGGGTCGCCTTCTCCTTGGGGCTTCGCTGGCCCCCTCGGTCCCCAAAGACCTTGTTCTTCTTCCACGCTCACGCTCAGGGTGGCAGCAATGGTCTCCCGCCGCCCCCTTCTCACGGCACAGCCCGTGCCGCCGCCAGTGGGGACTAAGTCTGGGGACACGCCTGGCGCTTGCGATGTGGCGCCGCCTAGTTTAAGGGCGGGTGGGCGGCTCCCGCGGGATGGACCCTGACGTGAGGCCGCGTGACTCTGCGGGCAGGAACGTCCCTTGGTAACTAGGTCGACCAAGCCTGTCATCCTGATCGCCCCCCTAGATTCTGACTAAGGCCATAAGCCTGTGCTTTAGCGAGCCGTCCAGAGGATTCCGATCAGGTGGTCTGTGGCCTGCAAAGTCTGTCCCAAAGGTATTCGCCAGGTACTACGGAAAGTGGGGACATTGACTGAAGAAGGTGCCAGATACAAGGACCATGGTACGCAGGACAGTGACGCCTCCGTCCCCTTCAAAGTCGGCGCCCTGCAACCTGGCGCAGTGCTCCCAGTCGCCACCAGCTGCCCTGTTGTATTTTCCTCAGTCTCGTCAACGGTCTGAAATCTCTTCCCTTTCAAAAGTGATTTCAGTTTCGGGAAAAGCCAGAAGTCGCAGGGCACCAAACCTGAGCTGCAGAGGGGCTGGGTCACCTGGGGGATTTGATGTTTCTCCAAAAACTGTGCCCCAGACATGGTGCACGGGCAGGCGCATTGTCGGCACGAAGCTGCCAGTCACCGGCTGCCCACAGCTGCGGCTTGTTCATTACCCAGCGGGCAGGGTAAAACGGAGCTCTTTGGAGGATATTCAGCCTTGGTCAAAGGACATTGCTCATGTCCTCGGAGCCTGCCTGGGCCGTGGGATGAACTCCCACGGGGCAGTAGACAGGAGGAGGTCATGCGCCCAGACAGCCCGTCACCCTAAATCTCGGCTGTTTAGTACAATCACAGAAGGATGTGAAGGAGCAAGAAGGCCCACATTAATGGAAACATTATCGGTGCTGCTAAAAGTCATCGATGGTAAAAAGCAGAATTCGTTCCTGACCCAAGCCAGCTCTGACACTGACAAATTTTACTTAATCTTTCCGCTCCTCTTTGGCTCAGTGTCCGCCATGGGCTTTGAAGTAGCAGGCACAGTGGAGGTGACGCATCTAACAGCGCGTGGCGAGCCACGCGAGGCCTTGTCCAGAACAGAGGTTTCGAGGGACTCGGGGGATGTGCGCTCTGGCTGTTAAGTGTTGGGTATTGTTTCTAACAGGCTTCGTTTTTAAGGGCTGTGGGCAGTTGGATGCCGCTGGGCTGGGGGGGAAGTCTTCTTTCGTGTTGTCCCTGCCGGTCAAGGAAAGGGGGTGCAGGGTCAGGTTACTGGTCGAGGAACGCCGTCCTGAGACCCGGGACGGCCACTGTCTGTGCGGAGGCTTCCCCGTGGGGGCAAGAGCAGCGCCCCGACCTTCCAGCCTGTCTGGGTGCGGCGGCCGGTGGTGAAGGGGGCCCAGGAGGGGACACCGAGAGAGAACTTCTGCAACTCAAAATTACCTTGTAAATAGGAAAGAGCCTCTTTTACTCCCCAAAATAATCTAAAATTTGAGTTAAAATAGGAAGAATCATGAATCTAATGTTAACAGGATTTAAAAATGAATACAGAAAATTATTTCACTTTAAAACCAACTGGTAGCATCGTCACTATTCAGCATCTCTAAGATTATATAAGCCTCACAAATATAGTATATTTAATTATAATCTTATAAATATAGATGGATGTATCATTTACCAAAAGTAATTTTGGAAACTCAAAAAAAAAAAAAGCAGATAGGCAAATGTATTAAATGCATTTGGGTTTGTGACTGCCAACATTTGGCACCGTCGCTTTTAGGAGTTTAAAATGGATAAGTCATGTTACCTAAGAATCAAGAGGTTGCTTCAAGCAAGCGTTTCTATTTTCTGTTGCTTCCCTGATGCCCTTCTCAACTCTGTGCTGGAGTTGGACCGAGCTAACCTGGTCGGGTTGACCAGCACGAACCTGGCACCTGTGAGGCGCATGCCATGCCGGGGGGTGATTTCCATAAAGAGCGCAGTCTCCCCAGTCAGAGTAACGCTGTGTTCAAGGCGTCTCCACCCGCTAGGTCAAAATTCGCCCAAGAGCATGGATCGCGTTTGCTTCACCTGACGCTTTTGAGCAGGTGAAAAGGTCAACTTCTTGCACTTTGGTCTAGAAGGTAGGCCCTGCAACCATTTCCTGGTCGTGTAGCTGCGCACGCTGTGCAGTGGCTCTCTTGGTTGTGACTTGCTCCCACGTCTTGCCGCCTTCCTCTGGATGGTCTGCAAGAACTGAGAGCACGTTGCCGAGCGGCCTACCTGCCCAGTCACGAATGCGTGGATTGTGTCTGTGACCCAAGACCGCTTTCTTTCCGGGGGTCCTAAGCCCAGGGTTGAGGAGGTCCCGCGCTGTTTCCATCTCTCTCCTGGGCCCGGGCAGCGGCTGGCTGTCCAGAGAGCCCGTTCCCCGAAGGTAGCGAAGACTCCTCTCTGCACTCAGTGTGGCCCTTAGGCCTAGTGGGGAGGAGCAGTGCACTCTCTCTGTTTTGACTGCATCAGCATTATTATACAAAACCTAGCCTGTCGTGTGTTTTCCAGAAGCCGCCAACACTGGAACGTGAGTCATGTCCCTTTCATACCTGCTACATTCTTAAGCACGGATGTTGCCCCGAACCCCCATCTCCAATGTGAACCAGGCTTTTTAACAATGGAGAATCTTCGCTTTCCCTCCTAAAATGGGGACTTAAAGTTTGTGGTCTTTCCACTTCCGTTGTTCAATTTCCATTTCCAGTACCATCTTCCTACACGATGCAGAGAGTGGAGCGTGGTGTAAAGTTAAGACGTGCCCAGTTTTCACGCTACGCTGTTATTCGTGATAACGTTACCTTACATTTACGTGAAACCTCAGCGTTTATGTGGGCTTTCATCTTTGGTCTTTTTGGATTGTCCCAAGGATCCCTTACGACATTACCGGTTGTTACATGATCACATGATTCATTTTGGGAGGCCGGGTTGGCCCAGAGTTACAGAGGCCACGGGGGCAGCTCAGGGCGGGCGCCCGGGGCTGCGGGCGCTGTGCGCACGGCAGGCTGACTGCCCTTACACCTCGCAGTCACATCCGCTTGGTACAGCTCCGATCCCCAGGAAATAGCTGACGGAGCGCCTGGCCGAAGAGCGCAGTTTATAACATCGTGGTGCTTGGCCCTGGACGCCCCAGAATTAGCCCGAGGCACCAGCGCAGACGGGGCGAGGCTCCGCCCATGGGCCTGACGTGTGTCAGAGGCAGACAGGAGGTGTCCTTCGTCGCCCGTGTGAGAGTGAGGGTGGGAATCTCCTACAACTCTTCTCTTCATCCCGCGCCGGCTCCTCTTCTTGGGACGGAAGGCAGTTAGGTGATTTGTTTGTGTTAGGAGCTCGTCGACACAATCCGAGGAACGGAGCACTGGCGGGCCAGCGTCGGACGTTTGCGGGGCGCACGCCGCGGAGATGGAAGCAACGGCCTCTGCTCTCCAGAAGCTCACGGGGCGAGCCTCTGAACAATGTATAGGACACAAAACGCACGTACCTGTTGAGTTGTCATTAGTCTCCGTAGCACAGGGAGTCCCAAGGAGGCCACTGGAGCTAGAAGAAAAGGAGCCAGGAGCCAGAACAGCACACGCAGAGGCTAAAGAGCCCCAGACGGCTGTGCGTGGGGACAGGGACTCTGGTATCACCGAGAGGGGAAGTAGTCTTAGCTGCTTCTTAAACAGAACAAGAATATATAAGAGCGTTGCAAAGAGCATTGAATGTGGGTTGAATCTTTATTCATGTGTGTTTTTTCCGTGGAACACAGATGTCTCCTAAAATGTGTAATTTAAAAGTGAAATTCTTTAAATTTTTTTTTTAATCTGTACAAGCAATTTATAACACGGTGTCTCCAAAATAAGAGTACAATATGCACTCATTTGCTTTAAATAAGAATATAAAAAGTTTAGTTTGCTTTATGGGTTTTTTTTTTAATATTATAAATACAGGAAAACCACACTTACCTATCTTGAATTTTCATTGCTGCAGTCCTGAAAGGGTACTGATTTCAGAATTTGGACCACTTTTTGGATCCCATGGCAGAACTTTGGGTTTGTTTGTTTGTTTGTTTGTTTGTTTGTTTTGGAGTTTTTATTCCCACTTGGCTGGATGGCCACCTGTCACAGAAGGAGCCTTCCGTTTAGGATCTCTCGCTGGGAGCCATGGCCCATGCAGCCAAGCCCCCGCGGGCGCCTCACGCCCCCCAGCTCCAGCCTGAGCGCGTGGACTTCCTTGCCCTCCAAAGCGCACGGTCAGAGGCAGAAACACTCCTGGCCACGCCTGCCTGTGCATTCACCACGCACAGAGCACCGCCCCACAGCCGGGCGGGCGCTGGGCACGGCGGGAACACTGCAGGCCTCCGCGCCTGACCTTCTCCCGTGGCCGGCCGTCCTCCCCAGGCTGAAAACGTGCTTGTGTGCGACTCTGGAAATCCTCACGTCTCTTTATTTACGGCATTCGAACTTTACTTTCTTACACAAAATTATTTCATGCAACATATGCAGATAACACAAGAATCCAAGCTGGGGAAGCAAAGAGAATTTTAATGAGCTTACCAGTCCAATGTGTCAGCTTTTTAATTTATTTCAAACGCCTTCAAAGGCAGATTGCTGGCTATTAATTTTTAGCTCAGCCTTTTCCTTTAGTAGAGAGAGTTTGGCCTCATCCGTTCTCCGGAGGGTTTTTTTCTGCTTCGGGGTTTCAAAGAAATTGTTGAAAACAAAATGCACTGAGAAAGTCAACAGGGCTGATGATGTGTGTCTTGAGTTTTAAGCCTTTTTTTTTTTTTTTTTTTTTTTTTTTTTTTGCTGCATCTAAAGCTCAGTCCTCCCCGCGCTCCTTGGCCCTCCCGCGCCCCCGCCCAGGTGCTCACCCTCAGCTGCCGAGTGGCTCTGAAGATGCTCTTCAACACCTGGGCCCATTGTCCCGCCCCCCTGATCCTATGGGGCATTGTAAACTCTTCCCTGCTCCTGCCTCCAGGAAATTAAAGAAATATCGCCCGAGCTTGAGCCGTGCTCCAGGCGCCTGTAGGTCCCCAAAGATAGACAGACAGCGAAGCCGCGGCTCCTGACTTCCCGCTGGGAGACGACGCCTGCAGCGTGTATCATGAGGCGCGTTGTGTGACGGGAGCGGGGGCAGGTCACTCAACCTCGCGAACGGGGTCAGGGAGCGCCCCCGAGCGGCGGGGCTGCGCCTGGGGACTCGCGGGACCCCGGGATGAGGAGAAGGGCCAGGAGGGCGCCGAGGACACAGTGAGGCGAGGCTCAGAGGCATGGGAGTTGGGGAACGAGGAAGAAGGACCCGTGGACCGTGGCAATGGGGGGAGGGTTGAATGTGGAGGGGGGTGGGCAGGGCAAGGGAGAGTAATGGGGGCAAGGGGGCAACTGTGATTGAACAAGAATAAAAATATTTGAAAAATAAACGAGTGACAGACGTGGAAAGGGCTGGAGAAGACGGCCCCCTCGGCGTGGTCAGGTTGCACAGGCCGGGGGCACGCGCTTCTGGATCGCGAGGTGAGACCCCAGGCTCTGCCCCTCGGTGCTGGTCCCGCCGCTGACCGCTCTGTGCCTCCGTGTCCTCATCTGCAAAGTGATACAGCCTGCCTTCCGGGGCTATTGTGAGTTAAATGAGATCATACATGTGAGAGACACACACACACACACACACACACACGTGTGTATGCTTTAAGTGCATTAACTGCTCCATAGAAAGTAAGTTCTTCAATAAACTGAGAGGCACGCAGAATGGATACTTAGTAAAAGCAAGCTCTTTGTTGTTTGATTTCGTTTTTTTAAGCTAGGCATTTCTAAGGCTGTTTTCCTAGGAACCCACTTTCTTTCTTATCCGCCCCGCCCCCCCACATTGGCCTGATGAGATTACAGTCCCAAAACTTAGAAATGTCACTGCTGGGTTTGCATCCCCCTTTGTTCATTTTTTCCCAGTCTGTGTAGCCTTAAGGTGGGACGAAAAGATGTGGAGACGTGGGCGAAGAGAACAGGACCTTCATACAACTTGTTTCTCAGTCCGTTCCTAGGGAATCTCTTGCTTCTCGGTTTGTGGGTTGGGGTCACGCCCCTGCCCACAGCTCTTTCGTCCCCGCCTGTGTCGGAGCCCACTCCACGGAGAAGCCGCTGGCGGCGAAGCCCAGGGCGAAGGGCCGGTGCCTCAGGCTCGGGGCAGACAGGGCGCAGGCAAAGTAAAGCATGCTCCGTGCTTCTGGTCTCAAGCTGCCAAAAGAAAAAAGGAAAAAAAAAAAAAAAAAGAAGAAGGAAAGAAAAAGTTTTTTGTTTTTTTTGTTTTTAATCACCAAATGAATTTCAAAGGCAAAGCAGCAAATGAATTAGCGCAGTGTGAGGCATTTTTAAAAGATCTTCGGAGAGGACAGAACAAAGAGCTTCCCACTTTCGTGGGCCCAAAGATTTGGTGCATCCACTGCGTTGAAAAATCAATAAGCATCATCCCTTGGCACTGGATTTTGTCAGGATGTCTGTAGTACCTGGCAGTCACCAGCCTTTGCAAGAGTTCCTGTCATTTGGATTTTCAGATGAGTCACTGGGCCCCTTCCCCCCGAGGCACTCGGTTATGATTCAGTGCAAAGTACTGGAAAAGGGCTCGGGCTTCCGGGCGGCAGCGGTGTGGGGAGGGGGCTGCAGGGGCTCCCGCGTTGGCAGGAGGCTGAACAGACACCTTTGACGGAGCCTGAGACAGAACCCGCACCTCCCACTGCCGCCGGGGAGACGTCAGCCTTACGCAGACGAGGCATCTGCCGGCGAGCCCTGCGCCTCGTTCAGCTGGCTCCCGGAGCAGCCTGAGCCGTCGCTGGCGAGTCCCCGCGCGCCCCCCTTCCGCGGGTGCTCGGCTTCGCGCTGGGGAGGGACTCGCCTCTTGCGGTCGTGAGGTGCCCCTGCGACTGTGTCCATGTTAGAACTCATAGAAGGTAAGTCCCTGCGTCCCGGCCCTCCCTGGGGACAGCGGTCGTGCTCCCTCCAGGACGCCGGTGTCTCCCTGCCAGCCCTGCGTCGCCGGCTGTGGGTGTGAGGCGTGTAAAAATGTCGTTTCTATGGGGGAAAGAATGGCGGCCTTCTGGAGCTTCACAAAGTGATGTCTTTAAGTGTTTTGTGATGTGGCTCAGAGAAATAATCGCTGACTTGGGGTGTGTGGCTTTGATTCAGATTAGGGACCGTGGTGGAGAAAAGCCTTGTCCACCGGGTAAGATCTCAGGGATCCAAGCCTGTCAGACGGCAGCTGTTCTTTGCAGACAGCGGTGAAGGCAGAGGGTGAGGATGCGGTCCGCCAACGGCTTTGTCCTGCGAAAGGCAGGTCCTGCCAGAGTCCAGGTGGAGGACAGACGTGCAGGGCAGAGGTGGAAGCAGGAACTTCTAGACGTGGGTTGTTGCCTATGAAACGACGGGCATTAGGTTAACCCGTCGCTGAGCGTGCCACTTGTCAGCTGTGCCCGTGTTTGCTCCGGCTGGGCGGCTCCGGGAGCTAAATAAAGAACCGCGGCTGAGCCCCGCGGGTCGTGTCCCCAGGCCCCAACCACACTGCCCGCATCTGTCGGCGCAGCTGAAGGCATCGCCCACAGCTCAGCAGGGAAGTTGGGAAAAGTGCACTTAAGAAAAATTTTTTGTGTCACCTGCTGCTCTGTCAAACGCTGGATTAACAAAACGCTGAGCGCCCGAAGCAGGCTGTGTGCTAGGCTTTTCCCGGGGCCACAGATGCAAAGGTGTCTGCGATTTCGGCCAACGCCCCTCTACAGCTACGGACTCCTCAGAGAAGGGGGCTTGTCCTGCAACTGCTCTAACGTGCCTTTCCCCTGTCTGTGGTCCTTTGTCCTTCCAGTTAATGGGACGCCTGGGAGCCAGCTGTCCACTCCGCGCTCGGGCAAGTCACCGAGTCCATCGCCGACCAGCCCGGGGAGCCTGCGGAAGCAGAGGGTAAGGAAACGTGCGGGCTCCCCGCTGCGGCCCTGCGCGGCCCGGCCGGCGCCGCCACACGCCCCTCCCCGTGGCGCCCTCGTCTCTCGGGGGTAACCGGGCGCCCGAGGGCGGGAGGCGACCGACACCGGGTCCCTCGTGACGGCCGTGGGTTCGCTTAGCTAGACCTCGGGGCTTTTCCTCGCTCTGTAAACCTGTCTCAGTCTCACCTCTGAGAAGAACAAACAGCTGCTGCTTCGCTCGGCGACACCCTGCACCTCCTGTCCCGACCGGACAGGTCCTGGTCGTTGTGGGCTTCCTTGGTTGTGACGAGCTTCCCGGGGCGTCATCCTTGGCCGCGGCCTGTCTTAAGGAGGGAGAAGAAAAGGGCCGCAGAGGGCGGGCCCAGCTCGGGGTCTCTGCGCGGCGCAGAGCGGGGGCCCAGGGGGGCTCCGGGGCACGGAGCGGGGGAGGCGTGTTCTTGTGAACGACACTCAGGTGGGGCAGCTCGTTCTTCATCAGTCCCTGCATTTAATTTTTAGTTTCTGGTGTAATGATGGAGAAGGTGGCTGAACTCAGAGGTCAAAGTCAAAGTTCCTGAAAACTGTTCGCCTCTCTGTGCCAAGGAAGGGGGATGGAGGAACGGCGGGTTTTACCCCTCACAGCCTGTGCTGCTTGCCTTTATTAGTGACACCAACGCAAGACTGAGGAGGGGTGGGGGGCCCCGTGGGGGAAGCAGAAGGCCCCCCGCTCCGTTCCACCAGCGAGGTGGGCAGGGACGCGGGCGTGGGGGGCTTCAGGATGGTGCTCGCTGAGTAACCGAGGAAGGAGGGACTCTTTGGAGGCTTTCGACCTCGAAGACGAGGCTTTTGAATTTGGCTTCTCTTATTAAGTGTTCTGAAACAAGGCTTCTAAATTCCATACATTTAGACGGTAACCAAGATGGATGCGCCCCTGCTCAGGGTGCACAGCACCGTCTGCAGTGGGGGCGGCGGCCCCGTCGGGCGCTGGTCCCCTGGGAGTGTCCCACCGAGCGAGCGCCAGGGCGTTGCCCCCCTGCACGCGCTCCCGGCCTGGTGCGGGGCTGGGTGGGAGTGTCCGCGGGCCCAGGCGCGGCACCAGCCCCCTCTCCACAGTGGCCGCGGTACCTTAGACAAGTCTGCTCTCTTCCCCGGGTCTCGGTCGGAAAAACAAAAGGCTAACAACGGGGGCGCTTTTCAGACAGAAAACTGGGTGATTCTCTTTCGGTTCCCCCGCGTGTTTGCACTGTAGCTTCCTTCTGGGCCACCATCTGAGGTGGCACGTTAAAGGACAGGAGCCATTAGCAAACTACTCAAAGAAGACTCGGCCAAATTAATTTAATCTCCCGAGTAAAGGTCTGTACTTGCGGTGAGGAAGGGTAGGAGGGGGTGCCCTTTTTGGGGGACTAGTCCCCAGCTGGGGCCCCTTCTACGGGGACAGCCGTTAGGTACGGCCCAGGAAGGCCCTTCTTGGGGAACATCCTCTCTTTTGAAGTGTCTGCTTTGGAGATCACACCTGGCAGAGAAATGCCTCTTTATCCTTTGAACCCTTGCGCTCAGATTCGGGCCCTCGGTCCTGCTCAGTGGTGGAGGTGAAAGCCGAGTGACGCGGAGGCCCCGCTGCAGGCCTGAGCTTCTCCCCCTGGGCGCGCGCTGCGCAGGGGTCCATCCTGGGGCTCCATCCTGGAGCGTGGAGCGCGTGGCTCCACGGTCGCCTTTGTTTGCAGAACGAGGCCAGGACTCACTGCCGCGTGCCGCGCTTTCCACTTCACTATTATTTCGTCCAACTGAGGCAGAAAATTCTCCCGCAGCGCCTGGCAGCTGTGCAGGCAACAGCCTGCCTCATTAACGTCGTCAGCACCCGGGGGCTGCCTAGGAGGACGGGTGTCCCATACATCCTTTTGTCACTGAAAGTAACGATGCAAGCGCCCTACCTGAGAGGGAAAAACAATCCCATTTGTTCTAGAGAAAGAAAGGATGTGTCATCATCTGAAAACATTTATTAAGCACATGTTGTGAGCAGAGCGCTGGGTGATCCCAAGATGGCGCTGAGCCCAGGCTTTTGAACGCAGGCCACGAGCGAACACCCTCCGTGCGTGTCCCAAGCCCAGGCACGGGTACGTCCCAGCTGCTCCAGCAGCCGCCGCTTTCATCTCCCTGTGGAGCCCGTGACCCCGTGGCCCCTCCCCGTTAAGATGGACCCCGTCCCCCTGGAAACGGATCCTGGTTCAAGTTTGGCGAAGGCTCCTCTCACATGGTTGGCTGGGTGCCTGTGCAGGAAACCCTGAAATAAGGGAAAGATGGCAAGTGCTAAAAGAAGACATTTCAACGAATAAATTAACTCTTTTTATTGCAAACTGAAAAAACAGTAGCTACTTCTATTTTCCCCTCTCTGTTGCCTGGCAACATGGCCCGGAAAATTACTTCCCCAACACACACACACACACACCCACACACCCACCCACCCACCCCCCACACCTGGTTCTAACACATAGGAACATAAGTGGGGTTTTTTTTTTAAGGAATATTGAGACATTTGCTCACTTTCTTCGCAAAGAAGAAAACCTGCATTTTCATTTATATTGATTATGATAACCTGATCAGTTTTTCCCCCTCCCTTAGAATCATATTTTTATGCCGTCTATTTTGATAGCTTAGAATAGTTACATGCAGTAAGAGTCTGCATGCCAGCGAGTCTTCTCTATAGAAGTATTGGTGGCGCTGTACTAGGCAACCTCCCTATTTTTACAGAAGAGTTGTTTAAATTGCTCTCTGGGAACGGTTGGCTGGTCGCAGAAGCAGGTCTTGGAGGATCTTTTCCGCCCGTGAGCTTCTGCGGGTCCCCTTTCTTTGAAATGTCAGGAGCGGCGCTGCGCAGGCGAGGAGAAGCGCCCCGCACACGCCCCCGCGGCCGGCTTCTGCCGATTATCCCATCACTCAGAGGAGGTGCGGAGTGGGTGGGAGAGAAGCCGGGATTCTAGACACCTAGACACGGGATCGGAGCTGGTTGCCGGGCTACCATCAGCGCGCGGTCCCCCGGCTGCCGGGGCAGGGGGTGGGGGAGTGAGCAGGGGTGACAGGTGAACGTTTGGGGACCCGGGGAAGAATATTAGGAAGGGGGCCGGGGGGCCGGTTTGCATTCTTCCTGTCCTTCCAACATAAACTTTGAAAAGGCAATGAAACGTCGTTGGCGTTACGCGAGGCACACACGCCGCCACACTTGAGTTGCCGCTCTGGGACTGGGGTTGGCTGCGTCCAGGATCGGCTGGGGTTCTAAGGAATTCCTCCTCCTTCCGGACGGGAGGGCGGCGTCCGAGGAGGGGTAGCCGGGCACGCGCCCGCCGGGCTGGCCTTGCCGGACCTGGGGGGCTGTGGACGGTGCTGGGCACAGGGCGAGCGAGTGCGGGCTGACCAAGGCGATGAGGCGGCATTCGCGCCCCCGTGGCTGTTTAGATGGTTTCTCGGTTCTTATCTTCCCTCTTACCCAGATTGGGTGACTCCGCAAGGGGTAATGACGCTGACCCCGCTCGTTCAGCGTCGCTCAGCTCCTAAGAGCCCCAGGGCACCTCCCACCCCCCCGAAAGCCAAGTAAACGAACCTGTCCGCCCTTCGTCTTGCAGGACCTGTACCGCCCCCTCTCGCCGGATGATTTGGATTCAGTAGGCGACTCAGTGTAAAAGAGGCCCGGAGCCATGTACATGGTTTGTGACTGGGTGAAGGTCTCCCGTTCCCTAAGCAAATGTCTAACAACACAAGGCACAAAAGAGTTTTGCATACTTTGAAATTACGAAGCCCAAAGCATTTCGCAGTGAACACATTCATGATGTCTAGTCCTTGAAGGAGTTTTTCCTTTGCTACCGCCCGCGGCGTTTGATTGGAGGAGCCGGAACCCACACTGGCTCAGCGGCTGAGGCCTCTGCGAGGCCTGGGCCGGGGGTGCCGTGGACCGGCGGCACCGAGGGTCAGGGTGCGCAAGTGGCGGGTCCGGAGCCAGCACCCCCGCGGCTGGCGCCTTCTCTTTCAGCCCAAGCCGACGTGCGGATGCTGTTTTTCTGCACTTTTGGTCAAGTAGATTCCAAGAGTCCTGAAACACATGTTTTCTTAGCATTAAATTCTTTTTAAAATGTGGCTTTGCCGATTTTTAAAGGTACTTTTATCACAAAATAATGAAACTATTCACGTCGCTTTTTTCCTTCCTAGTCAGTAGACAAAGCTATTTCTCGTCTTGTGGGTTAGTGGAGTTGAGGAGAAACGCCCACATCAAGGAGACATCTCATGAAAATTTTAACATTAGGGATTAGAAAATTGCCTTGTTTTTTGTTGTCGAGCAAATTTAATTTTAATTTTTTTAAATTGAAAACAGCTTAAATATAGCTTAAATGAAACACTGACATGAAGAGCTGTAAGTTATGTAATTCCTGTCACAACCATGTATGCAATTTTTCACATGGGTCAAGCCTGAAGCCAGGAAACTTTGTTTTACACCCAAGCTTAAAAAAAAAAAAAAAAATTGTGCCTGGACTTCTTCCAAAAAATCAATTTGAAAAGCAAAATTCTTTTAAACGAGACTGTACAAAGGAGGCCCACACTATCCAAATCCCCACTCCGATAAATCCCGGGCCTTGCTTTCAAAATTTTCATATGCAAAACTCCTTTTGTGTTAAACCAAGTCTATGATCATAACCCATTGTTAACATTAACGTACTAATTCTGCTCTTCTAGTTGTCTCTTTAAAAATTATGGTCGGCTTTGCTTAAACAGAAAATAATTATTTTGAAACCTGAATGTTCGATTAATTGAATGTGTATGGTCTGCTGTATTTAAGCCCTAGCGTAGCGATCGTTTCGTTTTCCTCGTGCAAACACTAACAGCGCAAGGCTGAGGAAGCACGGTTTTGATATTCAGCAGGCCTGACGTATCTCAGTAGGTGATAAATTAAAAATGGATGATGCCATTTGCAGGCTTTTACTTGAGTTTTTTCAAATTTTACTTGAAAAATGA